CTCGACTCTTAATCCTCGTCTAGATTCAGGTTCCCCCCTCTCGCGCGAAGCGCGGAAGCTTTTAATTTTCATTAAATCATTAGAGAAAGAAGACGATTCGTTGTACCGTTCTCGAAAATAATCCTCATCGGAATTTAGTTCCCCCTCCATCCCGCGCGAAGCGCGGAAGCTTTTACGTTTCATTAAGCCATTTAAGATTCGTATTACCGTTCTCGCCTCTGAATCCTCGTCTGAATTCAGGTTCCCCCCCTCCCGCGCGAAGCGCGGAAGCTTTGGCGTTTCATAAGATTATGAGAGAAAGAAGATGATTCGTTGTACCGTTCTCGATTTTTAATCCTTGTCTGAATTCAGTCCCCCCCCCCTCCCCTCCTGCGCGACGCTGTGACGTTTCATTAAATTATTAGAGAAAGAAGCCGATGCGTTGTACCGTTCTCTATATTGTTAATCCTTGTCTGAATTTCAAAGATGTTCTTTGTCTGCTCCTTTTTCTTCCTACGTCCTCTTCCGATTTGGGGGACCGCCCCCCCCCCCTCCCCCCCCCCCCCCCCCTGGCTACGCGTCTGCGGTCAGATAAACACATTTTGATACCTTGTCTAACCCCGCAAGCGGTCAGATAAGCATTCAGGGGCCCGTCTTAGGGCCCCTGGTGGGGTCGAGGCGGCGGAGCCGGCACTGGAAGCTCAGGGGTTTAAGGCGTTTAATTAAGGTCAGATGAGCATTTTTTTTTGTATACCTCACCTTATTATTTTGTGACACTGGCAGGTCACTATTTGGCGTGGGGTCCAGGGGGCGGAGCCGCCAAAAATCAGTGGTTTGAGGCATTAAATTACCGTCAGATGATCATCTAAGGGCCCGCCGTAGGGCCCTAGGTGGAATCCAGGGGGCAGAGCCCCCGGAGGCTTAGGGGTTTTAGGCATTAATCACGGTCAGATGGGCATATTTTGATGCCTCATTATTTTTTAACACTGGCAGTTAACTATTCTTTCATTCTTGCTCTCATTCTATATTATTTCTCTTTAATATACTTTTTCAAAAAAGTGGGGGTGGGGGGGGGGGGGGAGCTCGGTGCTCCCGATCCCCGCCGTACCTCGGGCACTGACATGTAGGAATCTCAAGAATCATATTTCTTGCCTGGCTGTAAATTTAGGAATTTGTCATTTTCCAACAAACACATACAAACGTATAATTTACTAAAAAGTGAGGAAAAATCTCGGAAATTATGTCATATCAGCATTATTTGTAATCCACCGTTGTGGAATTAGAAATAAACCACGTTTGAATTTGATTTCCCCCAAGCCCCCCCCCCCCCATCGGTACGCCAGTATCTCCTCTTTTCCTTTTTTCTTTCCCTTTCCTTCCTTCTCTCTTATTTTTTTGATTGGGGGGAGGGGGGGGGGGGGGGGGTCAACAGCCTGGGAGGCAAGGCCCTTTCGCCCCCGCCCCGATCTCCTTTTCCCCCCTTTTCTTTTCTTCTTCCTCTTCTTTCTTTTCCTTTCTCTCCTCTTTCCCTTTCCCTTCTTTTCCTTTCTTCTCTCTTTTTTTTTTTTTTTTTTTTTTTTTTTTGCGGGGGGGGGGGGGCCAAGGCCCGCTCGGCCCCCCCCTGGATCCGCGCCTGGTCATGGGATGGTTTTCGTTCGACATAATAGAGATTGGGGGCGCACTTACCACATCAGTGCCAGAGCCATGACTAGGTGTTCAGCTAACCCATTTACTATGTGCGGCGGTATGGTGCATAAGTTTTTCTTTTGTGCTTGCCCGACAATGCACCATTCACCATCATACTACCCGCAGAAACCAGTTTGTTCATAAGCCATTGCAGTTTTTGCGTACATGACATCGGCATCCAATGGCGTTTCTGCCGCACCTATATTGGTCTGTAAACTAGAGGTCATACATCATGTATCCATACCAAAATTATGTTAATAGTCCTTTAAACAAACCAAGGGTTTGTATCGCTTCTCCGTGTTTCTAATTTGTATCCCCCCTTCCCCAAAATCAAGGGTAAAATACATACGTGTCGTTGCTTTATTCACAAACCGAGCATATTATTATATGCCTAGTTATCATTCAAATATCGGTGTCTCTCCTGCTTTCGCCGAAATCACATTTCAGATTACCGAAATCATCTTGGCCGCTACAAAAATGTTCATCATCATCATCGTCATCATTATCAACATCGTCATCACCAAAATTATGAATCACGATATATGAATCTCCAAATCCTAGTTTTAATCATCAGAACCACAGGTACTTTTTCAAACCATCGCCATCGCCATGATCAAACTCGTTCGTCATTTCCGATAAGCAATGCATGCAGCCATTCAACAACCATAATCCTAGAATTATAATCCATCGACTTTATTCATACGGGTAAGGAATCCTTCACTATTCTAACATCAGTACGTGACCACCATAACCAGTATTAACATTATCACAATCACCAACATCATTGCCGTTTCGACCAACATGTATAAAACTACCATCATCATCATCATCATCATCATCATCCTCATCATCATCCTCATCATCAACAAAATCATTTTCATCATCATTATCATCATTATCATAATGATAATAATAATAATAATAAACGTCATCATCACCATCATCATAATTATTTTCATCATCTTCAAGCAGCATCAGCATCAGCATCATCATCTGCAACTTCAGCATCATCAGCATATTCATCATCATCAACATTTTTATTCGAATAATAAGTCATCAAAACAATTATCATAATCACCATCGTCATCATCGTTCAACAAAAGTCATCATCATTATCATAATCATTATCATTATTAACAACATCATCATCACAATCGCTACCATGGTAATAAACTGCACCATCATCATAATCATCATCACAATCATCATCATCATTACCATCATTATCACCGTCATCATAATCTTCACTAGGGAACATGATCATTCATTATGTCACTGTTCATATTTTTTCCATATGTTCCTATTATATAATCATAAAAGCACTCTTTCAGTTCCACAGGAGAAAATTTAAACAGGTTTGTGCAAAATGAAATATTTCGTCAGTATTATTTTAATACGCGAACACGAATCTTATATTGCCATCGTACAACGACGTACATACACACACACGATAATTAGTCTTACTATCTCGTGCAAAACATGTTATCATAAATATTACAATACATAGCATGGTTTACACTTTAAGTTAGAAGAAATATTACATATTGCAAATTGGAGATGTATTATAGATAACACAAAAGGGACTTTACCATGTTTACAGTACTTCTTTAAAACCCTGTATAATCATACCACTGAGATGGAAAATCACAATCAATGCGACGATTTGTAAATTGTGCCTGAACTTTTGGCTAAAACTTTTCATCAGCCAGCAATTTCATCATTACGATCACGCGTATCATTGTCATCATGATTAAAATACTTGTCAGAGCATTAACATTTCAATACAAATTTGGGTGTTAAATACGCAAGAATCAAGAATTCATCATATTCGCTACCGAGTGACGAGTATTTTTTCACCGAAATATTTCGCTAACAAATAAAAAAATTGAATTAGGTCAAAAATTTGTTTTTAAACCACCTTACAGTCAAAGAGATCATGCGTGGATGCCTCCCATTAACCCCCCCCTCTCTCTCTCTCTCTCTCTCTCTCTCTCTCTCTCTCTCTCACACACACCTCCTCCTTCCCCTTTCTTTACAACTTTTTGTGCGAGACCAGCTTTTAGACAATGAACAGTGTAAATTATTCGAAAATTATATTATCATTGACATAGAAATTGGAATAAGTGAAATATTCACGCAACCCCGTATACTTCAATTTAACCAAAAGAATGATTAACATAACATTTAGGGAAATTCATGAAAAGCAAGTCATATACTTGCGACGAACGATTCAGTCCATGGGGAAGGGAAAAAAAATCATATTTCTACACAAAACCTGTACTAGAATCTCCGGAAGGTAACCAATTGAAATATCTTTACTGCATGGCTTCACGTGAATGTGACGTCCTATATTGTTTTTTTTTTATTTCATCACAAAGTTGAGTTAAAGGTAGGAATTGCTAACCAAATGACAAGTATTCAATCAACTTCCACTCATAATGTATGGCTTATTTTGTATAATGGTAGGAATTTTCACTAAAATTTGAAATCTTCATTTTTAGACTTTCTTACAACACTTACGGGCGGCACATTGGAATAAAACCTGGTTTTCTGGAGATGTTACAAACAAATTAAAAATGAAATAGCATATGTTCGACCTTAATCATTAAGACTTTTACATTTTCTACTGCTTTCACAAAGTGAGAACGCGTAGACTTCGGTGAAGATTCCTAAACCAAAGAGTCGCCGTGTCAAAGATTTATTTAAAAAGGCATTGCTCACAGCGTTGACTAAATACAATTCAAATTCATGTCATTTATTGTTCACTTGTGGTAGCGTTCGTGAAATATGTGAATAGATTCCAGTCTATTTGACATTGATAGTAATTTGGTTCCCTGAGTACGTATTCCCACATACAATTAAGGATTTAAGTATTTATGAGGTAAGAACATCTTTTGCGTAAACATAAGATATGGGTGAAATAGAGCTCGAGATGTGCATTTAGGTTTAGAAATGAAAGTGCATGTGAAAAAAATATAAGCACTGGCAGTACTGACCCTGTAGAAGTAGAAATAGAAGAAAGGCTTGATAACTTATTTCAAACTTACCCCGTACGATCATACAATTCCGTTCAAGCTTACATGGTATACAATAGATAGAGATTGTGAACGATGTGCATTTTTTTAAAAAGCTCACAAGAAAGAATAACCTCACAAAATTAATGTATACATTTGAAATGTATATTGACTTTGATTTGTCTCAACAGGAGTTCATCCCAGACTGACGAAAATCGTAAAATAATAATTAAAAGCTAATCGTTTGAATGAAATAACATAATTTGAGTTAAATTGAGGCATGGTTCTTGTTTCAGATTATCTTCCGTTGGTCATTTTTGGTGCTTCCGAGGAATGAAGATTAAATAATGAAGATGGCAAGTCGACAGGACACCCAGATCCGTTATTTCAGCGCAAAGAATGACCGACAAGTACTTAAATAAAGTCTCTCCGAGACAGTTAGTTGTAATACTCAGCAATCAGTTAACAATGTCAACTTTTCGACAACAGGCAGCATTTTTTTCTAATATCATTAGTTGTTTGCTCATTTAGTTGAATATTTCTGTACATGCTTCAACTCATGAGCAGGGTTGTTTCAAACAACCGGCTCTTTCTCTAGTCTCTATTTTGTCCTCTGTACAAATCATCAGCAGTTGTATACCATGTAATGCAACCTGGCAAGTTCACTCTTGAGGATAGAGACCTCTGCTCGAAGTTTCATGTTGTCCTGTTCAAGATAAACTGCTCTGATTGCGATCTCTTCCTCCTTCATTCTCCTCGCATCTCTTGATCTCTTCGCTGCATCGTTGTTCTTCCTCCTTCTCTCCCAGTACGCGATGTCTTTCTTTTCATCTGGAACGGGTTTGACTTTCTTTCTCGATGGCTCTTCGGGCTGCAGGTCCACGACGTGTCCAGCTCGACGTCGACGAGATGCGAGCAGCGCCGAAAGTCGGAGACTAGAGAGCGACTGCGTCGAGCCAGAGTTTTCAGCGACGGGGTAGTTCATTAGGGCAGGGTAGCCTGCGTACGATGCCATGGCTGACGCAGCCAGTGTCGGCTCGGTGTATGAGTAACCCGTTACGGCGGCGGCGGCGGCGGCAGCGGGAAGCATCGCCGAGTACGGATACACGCTTTTCAACTGAGAAGCGCTCACGATGGCGGAGTAGGTGAGATCGAGCGGCTTGCCTCCCGCCTCGGGGTGGCTAGCATCGCTTGTCTTTGCGCTCTTAGGCCGAGATGGGCCGACCATGTTAGAAACGTCTAGAGCTGATTTCTTCATCTTCTCTGGTTTAACTGGAGTGATGACTTCAAATGAGTCGGATTTCTCTGGCTTTGTCATTTTAACTTCGATGACCTCCTTAGATTCCATCACTTTTCGAGCAATAATCTGTAAAGGCAGATAAAAAAGAAGAAATACTTATTTGTTTGAATAAACACAATAATCACACTGGAGTACATCTACATTCGTTCATTTTCAACAACCAAAAACAGATTTTAAAAAATGGTTTCAAACAGTTATTATATCATATCATGAGCAACTTCATATTACTGATCACAATGAAACTGAAATTAAAATAAATATTCTCTTACATTACCCAATGTAAGTGATCAGAGATTCGAAGTAAATATTTACATGGATGACAAGATTTAAAAACTCGGTTTAAAGTTGAAGATCATCGACTTTAAAACGGAAAAAGTTGATGAAAATGCACAGATGAAACTCGAGATGATAGCGCTCACTATTCGAATAAAAAAAGATTTACCTTTTAAATAAGATTCAGACGATACACAAAGAATTGAGTAAACGAGTTTTGATATTTGGAAAATTGAAATTTCAGACCCTCGGAGGGTAAGTGCAATATTAATTACAAAGTAATATTTTGATCTACTTACCTTCTGAAGATTTTTTCTTGTCAAATTTGGTGAATATGCTTTAAAATAGATGTCAGCTTCGGTAGTTTATGTTCCTTTCCTTGACAGAAAGAACACTTATTTCAATTCCAGACAAAAACTGAATTTGTGTCACCAAGTTCACCTCAACAAATAGAGAAATAAAGGATAGTGACTATCCGAGCTATGGTTGAACAATTGAGCAAGAACTTGGTAGTTGTCTGGATGAGCGAGTTGTTGGTAAATGTTATGAAGAAGGGTTGAAGCGCGACTTTTTATCACTTGGTGAGTAGTAGTCACCCTGCCCTTGTGACCTACCAGGGACGAACGCGGTGACGTCGCACGGCTCGCGACCTCGCACCAAAATACATCGGTCACTCGCTCACGACCATATAACATGTGACGAATGAACAAACGGACGGACGTTTCTCAGCTTGCGCGGCGCAGACGATATTTGGTCTGCGGGCAGGTTCTTATAATCCGGTTTGTTTGGTGTTGATGATGATCTCATAATAGTTTGTGAATGGGAAGAGAGCGTGCGTGCGACGATAACTTCTGCGGCTGCGCAGTCTGATAGGCGCATACACTCTGCTGAGCATGTTTTCTCTCTCGGTTATATCATGGACCTACTGGTCGATCGCCCTCTCTTTATTCTTTTCCCAAACAAATATAGAAGCAGTTTCTGTTTCTTAGTGCTTATATTATATGATCATGCTCGTTGCATGCTTGTTGATGTATGTGTATGGGAGGTCTAATTATGGCGTAAAACTGTAGCGAGGGTAACAATAATTCTGCCATGCGTTACTTTTAAAGTCATTGAGAACACTAAATAATTCCATTACTATAATCAAGTAAACAAAAGTAAAAGTAAAAGTGAAGAGTTTTGCTTATTATGAACGTGAAGAAAAACAAGTCATAGAGCAGGTCAACAACAACATCTACAGTAGGACAAAATGTTACTTGATGATGCCCGAATGCGAGGCAGACATCAAAAGAAGGATTGAGATTACACGGAATACATTCCTGGCAACGGAAGACTTATTTACAGCAAGAAATGTAAAATCTAACTTAGAATGAGACTAACCCATTGTTATGTCTGAAATGTTCTATTGAATGGACCATAAACGTGGCATTTAATTTGAAAATTTGAAAAATTGGTTATTTATTGTTATTTTTAATATCATTATTATGTTATCATTGTAATAATAATGAAGATGAGTAGTAGTAGTAGTAGTAGTAGTAGTATAGTAGTAGTAGTTTTGTTATTAATAAAAACCTGTTGAACTCTTAATAAATGAATCACACGCGACTGCATTCGACAATTATTTAGTTTAGGATCTAGGAGTGAGTATATAACATAGCACAATTCACGAGCGAGTACTTCCAGGACGCGTTCAATATTGAAGTATTTAAGGAGAAAATCATTGCTCCCTTTATATTCAAAACATAGAAAAATAGATTCAGGTGTGGTCCAGAGAGGGCGTGCCTCAGAAACTCTGACATCTTAGGATTCGGAACATGGAAAACCAAGCATCTGAATGTCTTAAATAAAGGGAAATAAAGTTACACGCTCGTAGAATACCTGTGTTCCATTACATTTTCCATTAAACTTTTTATCGGGCATGGTCATTATCAGTGACATGATTATTTTGATAAATATTATTATTATTGTTAATTTCAATAACAATAGTTAAGGGAGGAGGAGGAGAAGGAGGGTTGGTGGTATTGTGTGCATCATATGTCTTTAAAGCTTATCTGCCGTAGTTTACAGGAGGGATTAGACTGCCCTGCAAGGTCACTGGACAGGTGGTTATCTCATCAACTCAGCTCTCAGTTAACATAAGAAAAAGAGGATCATGGGGGGACCAATGGTCACCGATTAGGTATTTTTTGTTATACAGAGGGCGCAAGTAGCTACAAGTAGTGCAGTGGGCCTTTAATAAAGATGATTCTGTCAGCAGAGTACTGTACGTCACCATCTTTCAAGCAGATTTTGTCACTGTATTTTAAGCAGATTTTGTCACTGTATTTCAAGCAGAGTTGTCACTGTATTTCAAACAGAGTTTGTCACTGTATTTCAAGCAGATTTTGTCACTGTATTTCAAGGAGAGTTTGTCACTGTATTTCAAGCAGAGTTTGTCACTGTATTTTAAGCAGAGTTTGTCACTGTATTTCAAGCAGAGTTTGTTGCTGTATTTCAAGCATAGCTTATCTTTTTCATCAATCAATCAACTGGAAACCAAGTGGTACACTGGTCGAGTCCCGCCGTGGCACCAATGTCCTCTGGCAACACATCAACCTACATTTGCCACTTGTCATCTAGGTGTAGTAAATGTTAAAAAATGGGTATCCGGTATCATACTAGGTCTATGTCCTACCCGAGGATATTGCCGTTAGAGTAAATGATGTTTTAAGAATAGGATATGAAACAAGGGCAAAAAAGTTGCAAGCGATATAAATCATTTGCAACTTAAAATTATTTTAAACTCCTATCTCACATGCGAATAATTCAAGATGCGATTGATTTGAATCAATCGCAACTCTTTATGATACCCGGGCCCGAAATGAAGACATTTAAGACGAGGTGCGGGGTGTGGGTATGTTGTTGTTGTGTGTACAGGCGCGTACGCAGGGGGGTGTTTGGGGGGTTAACCCCCCCCCTTTGGTATTTTTATGTGTATAAACCCCTTAAAAAAAAAAAAAATTATTCCCATGAATGACCTAAAAAAGGTGACCTTATTCCCCCCCCCCCCCCAACGGAGCAAAATGTCAAATTTCCAAATTTCGAGACAAAAAAAAAAAAAAGTGTCATCTTACCCCCCCCCCCCCCCCCCCGCTTATTCAGCGCCCGGCTGAGTCCTTGCGATTTTTAGGTGACCCCCCCCCCCCCAAAAAAAAGTGTCCTCTTACCCCCCCCCCCCCCCCCCCCCCCCCCCCGCTTATTCAGCGGCTGGCTAGGTCGAGTGCGAAATTTTCGGCCCGATTTGAAAATGTTAAACCCCCCCCCCCCTTGAAAAAATCCTGCGTACGCGCCTGTGTGTGTATGTGTATGTGTGTTTGTTTTTATAGAAGCCTATCAATAAGATCTGATAACGAGCGTCTGCGAAATGAACCTCCAAGTTTTCAACGCCACAATTCGAAAAATACTCATCTTCTCCTCAATCTCCCCCTCCTTTTTCTCCTTTTTCTTCTACCTCTAATTCTAATTCTAATTCTTGTTCTTCTTCTTCTTCTTCTTCGTCGTCGTCGTCTTTTTCTCCTTTTTTCAAGCGAACGAGCCTAATCTTACGAGTTTGTCTTTTGCTGTTTTGCAGGGACCAGTCCACGTACGTCACTTTCTTTTCTCTATTTCCAACACTCCCACCCCCAATAAAGGCTTATTTAGATATTACATTTATATATAAAATAACCAACAAAAAAGGGTGTGGAATGAATTGGAAACTGCGCGCAACAAAGGATTTGCGCATATTCAGCGATCTCTGTATTACAAGATGTGAAACGAGAAAGAAAAAAAAGCGCGAAATAAATGCGTTTTTTTTTCTTCTTCTTTTAACGGCGGTTTATTACGCTTTGAAGAAAAGTGAAAAGAACAACAAAGATAACAACGCTGAAAAATTACGAAAGATCGATATGATTTTAAAATTCAGCACTTGTACTTAAAAAAAGTATACGCAAGCAACTGTGTCATAACTCTCTTCCAATATTTATCTCGTGGTACGAAGGGCTTGTATATTTTCTTCTCCGCTGCATTTTCTCGCGCCTGTAATTCCCAATTTTCCTTATCCCAGATGGATAGAGTCGTGTAGGAGGTTGTAAATCATCTGTAGACTGTGTAGTGACAACCATGTAAGGATTCTTCTCTCAACCCCCCCCCCCTTTTTTTATCTTCCTCTCTCTCTCTCTCTCTCTCTCTTTCTTCCTCTCTCTTTTTCTCTCTCTTTCCCCCACTCTCTTTTTGATCTCTACCTGTCTTTCTCTCTTTTTGGGGTTACTTTTCTCTTTCTGGCCTTTTTGGTAATCCATCGTCAATTCTGCACACATCCGTTTTATCAATTTTTTGATCATATTCTATATTTTTCTTTCTTTTTAGTTGCGTATTCTCACGCTGTATGATTTGATACATTTATTAATTTCGCCTTCCTTCATCATTCATGTTTGATATTGTTTTACTTCAATATACTAAGTCATTAACACTTATTTTTACTATATGGTTCACACTTTTAAGTTTTAGTATTCAGTAAACTTCGTCAAATTTTTCTTATGTCATTTTCAATATTGAATTGATTAGCGGCAAAGTTGATCTTGATTGATTTGAATGAAGGAAAACAAAAAATGAAGAAGAAAAAAAGGATAGAAATGTGCACTTCCGCGGGATGAATATACACCTTATATCCCCTTTTATATAAAATATAAAACGGTGATATCTCGTAAGAAAGAAAAAGAAATCGGTATTTTATTTTTATTTTCCGGAAAGATTTTTCCTGCCACCGAATATTGGCCTTCAGATAGTTTCAGATAGCTGTTGAATACATTAAAAATAAATTGCCATCCATTTCTATGAAGCTGTATAACGTATACAGGAGAGGAAAAAAAAACTGGGTCAAAACTTGTAGATAAACCCAAGGACAGGGCCAAACAAGACAAGTGAACTACTTCACCTACATTTAAGCCTTGTGCCCTCCCCCATTCTCTCTCTTTAATCGGAAGCATGCATTATAACAAATCCTAACGGGAAGCAAGAATACTCAAAATATAGTAAATAGAGAACAAAAGCTGATGAGAAAGAAGAAAAACATGATCGCATCTATTTCCGAAAAATCAACTCAAGGTTAATTGTATTATGCCCTCTTAGAAATCATGTTCAGATTACGTAATACAAACATTTCAATAGGTTACGCACGAGGTCGATTTTATCCAATTCAAAAAGTAGTTTAAATTTGAATTTGAATTTATTAACCGTATATACATATTAGAGCAAAACATACAATATAAAATATAATACATAAAACATACAAAGCACAAAGCAAATGATTATGATTAGGACCACAAAGAAACAAATTGCATATAAATAGGGCCCTCACAAAAAACAAATCAATTTAAATATTATTCTGTCACCATACCTACACATTCACACACAACACACACAAATACTACCTACACGAAATACTATATTGTAGTTGCGACCCTGTGGGAGGAATAATGATGATGACGACCACTATAATAATAATAATGATGATGACGACCACTATAATAATAACAATGATGATGACGACCACTATAATAATAATAATGATGATGATGACCACTATAATAATAATGATGATGATGACCACTATAATAATAATAATGATGATGATGGCCACTATAATAATAATAATGATGA